AAGAGGCTGGGGTGAGGGCTAGCACCTTTAAATCTGAGGCCATGGTTCTCAGCAGGAAACCGATGGGGTGCTCACGCCAGGTAGGGAATAAGTTCTTACCCCAGTTACCCAAACTTTTGTTCCTACCCTCACCTACGGTCTTGAAGACTGGGTCATGAAAGAACGAGATTGCGGGTAGAAGCGGCTGAAATGGGATTTCTCAGCAGGGTGGCTGGCTCCAGCCTTAGAGATAGGGTGAGAAGCCAAGTCATCCGTGAGTAACTTGGAGTAGAGCCTTGTCTCCTTTGTGTAGAAAGGAGCCAGTTGAGGTGGTTCGGGCATCTAGTAAGGATGCCCCCTGGGGGCCTCCCTAGGGAGATGTTGTAGGCACATCCAGCCAGAAGGAGGCCTCGGGGGAAGACCCAGGACTAGGTGGATAGATTAAAACTCCGCGTTGACCTGGTAACGCCTTGGGATCCCCAGTCAGAGCTGGTTAATGTGGCTCTGGAAAGGGAGGTTTGGTGGAGCTGCTGCCCCAGCTAGTCTCTTGCTCTTCACTCTCTCTTTTACTCCTCCTCATTTCCTCCAACATCTTCTTCTGTTTCTTTTCAGCCACTGCCATGATAATAATACTGAGAATACCGAGTGAGCTTCTACAACAGAATTTACATTGTAAATTACTTACTCGTTGCTTCTTCTTATAGCTTGCTGAAGAGTCTTGTTGATGTGACGTGCTGCCGTAAAGCATTTCACCAGGGGTTTTCACTGTGTAAGGCGGGCCTCCCTGCAGGGGGGAGCTCCAAACAGTTTCAGGGGAGGCTCAGTGAATGGAAGTGAAACAATATTACATTACTTATTGCATTAGTTATCAAAAGGAGATCACATAGAATGGCCTGCATGTGTGAGAGTTTAGAGATGCAGTAGTTTTTGGGAACTGTTTCCCCCCCATCAGAGTAAGAAACTAATAAATGCCTGACAAACCTTTTTTTAAACTATATGGTATAATTATCCAAAGAAGGTTAAAGTAAAGGGACAGGCAACTGGACTTGGTTGAAGATACTAGAAGTTTGGTAATATTTAGTCAGAAGTTATGTCAAACAGCAAAATTAGGCTATTTTGGCTAAAATGTTGATATTCATTATCCCATAGGCGTTCAGGAATTGCGTGAAACTTACCAAGTAAACTAAAGTTGTGTTTGGGGGGCGCCATTTCCCAAACTTGGTCTGAGGGTAGGCCCGCAGTCATTGACTTTGAAAACACCTGAATTACACCATTATTGTGAAAGGTTTCCAGATTTTAAGATGAAATTACTACTTAATGTTGCTTTAAATGGACTGATCATTCAAATTAATGGAACTTGAGTGATATATCCGTAACAAAAATATACACAAAACAGAGGGTGAGTTTTTTCCTTAAATTAAATAAATGTAATATTCACTAAGGTTGGAAAAGTGGGTTGTAATGTTGCTGGATTTAATTGGGGTTTGGTGGATCAGACACACTCACCGCTGCTTTTAGTATGAAAATGTCTAATCACATAAAGTGGAAGTGTGTAGAAAACATACCTGGCAGCAAGATGAAAACCTCTGTGCTCTTCCTCTTTTGGAAAGCTTTGGAGTCTAAAGTTAGCACAGTAAGCAGACATCAACAGACAGACAGACAGACAGACTCCAGCTGTGAGTTGGTCTACTGAACTTAATCTTCTCTTTTCAGAAAATGTGAGAAAAACATATCTGGATCTGTGGAGGGTGGAAATGTTCCTGAAAATGTGACCGTGTTTGTGAGTATCTGATGTGCTTCTATCAGTAAATAACCGAATGCAGAGCACGCACATTAAAAAAACTCAACAAACTTTGGATTAAATGACAAACTGAAGGAAAAAGTCAGGCAAAAAATCATTTAATGTAACACAGCAACTTTTGGATTTAAGACAGATCTTCATCAGGCATTGTCAAATACACATCACAAAACACAACAAGCTATATACTGTAGATAGACACAGACACATTCATCACTCAGGTGGTTGTGATCTGCACGAGTTAATCCTCTCAGACTGGACCAATCAGAGCAGAGCTGGATCAGACTCTAACATGCCACTATATGGACAAAACATGCCTCTCTCAACTAATTATACAACAATACAATTATACAAGAGATATTAAATCAAAGGTATCCAAAGATTTAGTAAAATTAAATACATAAATCATCTAAATATGAATCACTTATCATTACAACTATGTTGAAAAATAGTACGAGAAAAATAACGGAAAAGAAATTATATTGTTTAAATGGCAAAAACAAGCATAAACTAGTGAAATGTAAACACAGCAAAACAGAACGTAGATGGTCACATTTCGTTGACAGAAGTTTTGAACATTTGCTGGAAGGTGCTGGTGGGTCTGTTAAAGGAGCAGTTTACAGCAACAACCTATAAAGTTGTACATAAACATCTCAGTTTTCTTAAAGACAGCAGTGACTGCAACTGTGAGTCAGTCAGTGCACCCCATTTACAAGACCTTGCACGAGTCCTTACTGATGCAGCCAGCGTTCAAATCCAGCCTGTGGCCCTTTGCTGCATGTCGCCCCCTATCTCTCTCCCTCCTTTGCTCTCTCTCCACTGTCCTAATAGTCAAAAATATCTTTTAAAAAAGTATTTATGATTAGTGATATTAAAGAAGAGTAATAAGAAAGAACAAAACTTTACTAAACTAGTGATCTCAGGTTGTTGTTGTTGGCAGAGTAAATGCACCATGTAGGTTGATCAGAGATGTGAGGTTGTTCTTGATGTTTGAAAAATGACTCTTCAAGCCTTTGACTGGTTCATATTTTGAGAAAACATGATTTACATAAGACTCTTTCAATTCAGAACCTTCACAGGGTTTCCTATCTTTATAAATTACTCTACATCCTACATCTCTCTCAGAATTTCTAATAACACATTCCTCTGTCATCATTGAAGCTAAATAACTACCAGAATAATGCCTCTCTATCGTGATCTCAGTAGTACTGCTCTTGTAAGTCTTGTATTTCTCCATTAAATTATCCAGGTGCTGCAGATACACACTGATGGCAGAATTGATCGCAGTCTGATGGTCTGATGCAGGTTTGCCAGTCTGAACATTCAGACGAGCTTCATGGATCAACATCTGGAGGTGGAAGGAGGCTCCATTGACCCAGATTTTGAACCCACGGGTGCTCATCTGTCCGTCATGCAGCAGGGAGTTTCTGAGGATGGTGAGATGGTTGCTCAGCTGGGCTTCTAGTCTCCGTAATTCTTCAAGTAATCGTTGGTCATTGTTAATGAATGTCTGATGGCGCTTCAGATACTCTGACATTGTGTCCCGGACAGATGAGGCTTTCTCTTCACCAAATACACGTTGGAGCATGCTGTATGGAGTCTCAGTTGATTCGGTCCTGCTCAACATGCTGATCTCCATGATCATGGAAAGCACCAGCGCTCCAATTCCAACAGCATTTGGGATTACAGTCAATGCACCCAAACTAGATCCCAAGTTGTTAATGTAGTCTGGCACTTTGTTGACCAGCTCAGTAGAGTAGGCTACCAGCTGAGCGTTGGAGTCGGTACCCGAATATTTCAGTAGAGACTCATCTATGCCTATATCAGGTAAGAGGCATGGATGCTGTAAAGCAGTTTGATAGTAATCAAGAGCAAACCTGTCATAGTCCTCTTGTGAGTATTCAGCGCCCATGTTTTTCACTTGACCTGTGAGGCTCAAAGTGTAAAGGTACCACGACCAACAGACTGAACACCAGGCAATTCAGAATGTTTGAACATGAAGTCTAGTCAGCTCCCTCATATACACCAGGGATGGCACGCCACTAACCAACCAGACTTCTGGAAAGTTAGGCGTATTTGTTGACTCTGGTCTAAATCCCAGTGTGTGGAAAGTCCAGGGACACCAACTGTGCCCCACAAATTTATATGTATAAGGTTACAGTTCAAAAGCAAACCAAATACTGGTATTGTGGAGTGTTTCTTTATGTTCGTTCAAGTTTTTTATATACTATATATTTATTTTAAAATAAAGAAAACCTTTCCAGAATCCACCTTTAGAAACAGGCACTAACAGTTATTATTACATTATGAATTGCTGTTCTCATACTGAATCTGTGAGGTTGAATGAAGGTGAGAAAGAGATGAACACCAGGCAATTCAGAATGTATTAAGATAAAGGCCACAGTTAGCTTTCTCAAATGTAGACTAATTGTAGATTAAAACAAAAATAAAACAAATAAGGTTAGCTCCAAACCCCCAAACTGGCAAATTAAAGCAAACGTCGCAAAAACTTGGAAGGAAATGGCGTTCCACCAATCTGGAAGAATCCTGCTTAATCTGGTAAGAGAGTCTTAAAACACGGCAAGGCTCTCCGTAATGCCAAAGCAGCCTCATCATTAATAGAGGAAAATAAAAACAACCCCAGGTTTCTTTTCAGCGCTGTAACCAGACACAGCTCTATTCTAATTATCAGAGACAAACTCCATCACCTCCTGCCCTCAACTGGTATCAATTTATCTCCAAAGTCAGGAACCTTAAAAACATTAATCTTCTACTAACTTCTTCATCCAAACCATCAACCTGCCTCTTCTCTTGGACCCCATCCCAACTGTGCTGCTTAAAGAAGTTTTACCCTTAGTACCTCTTCACTAGACATGATCAATCTGTCTTTATTAATGGGCTATATACACTACAGTTCTATATCTAACCTTCCCTTTCTCTCTAAGATCCTTGAGGAAGCAGTCACCAAACAGTTGTGAAAACTTTCTACACAGCAAAATTTAAGAGAAGGCACAAGACTTTCCTCTTTGATAAAGCTTATACAAGACACGGGCTAGTTTATTAGTCATCAAAGCTGCATAACGAAACGAAATTTGTAGTTCCTTCATGCTACACACATATGATTATGTGTAGGCCTATATTAAAATATGGTAACATAAAATAAAATGAAACAGTATGCACAGTTATTTATATAAATATATACATACACATATGCACCCCGAACTTTCCACAGTGCATTTTTTTAATTTGCATGGGGTGAATGTAAACAGCAGCAACAAGGTGATAATATGAAAGTTTCATCTTCACAATAAACAGTCTGACATCTGGGAAACAGAGTCCATCTTGACCAAACATCATCAATGTGAAACACAGAGCCCACCTCCTCTCATCTTTCCGGGCGTCTTGCGCTGACAACTCGGAACATGGACCACCTGCCAAGTGTCTCTGTAACGATGTGGCCACAACAGGCTCTGAATTCTGTTGTCTGGTCAATATGAGTCCCATTTTGTCCAGACAGCCTCTTTTGGAGCAGAATTAAGTCGATGGCTCCTCTCCTGGCTCTCTTTCCTGGCTCTCTTTCCTCTTCTATGAGCGATCACCGCACCCGCCGTAGCACCTGGTCCAGTTGTTTGGGCCGGGTGGATCGTGGTCTGCTGCTCTGTAATCCAAAAACCCAGCATTCATCTTCCATTGACTGTGTTTATGTTCCATTTTTGTTCAGGGCTTACCTGAGACATGCCTTAGTTACGCTGCTATAGGCCTAGACTGCTTCATGGGGATTTCCCATGATGCTGTGGCTTTTTGCAGGTGTTTTTGACCTCCAGTCTGGATCGGAGGTTGCAACCTGTTGTCCCCATTGGCCTGTTGACCCACTGTATCAACTATCGTTATTAGTCCTATTATTATTATCATTATTATCACTATTATTCCTTTTTATTCATATTTGTATCATTACCACCACCATTCCTATTATTTTACATCTCCATGAGGAACTTGCGTTAGGCTACTCTGTGTTTTTTTGTCTCTTTCCTCCTGCTCTTTCTCTTAACTCAAGAGTTAACCGTGTTTGTTGATTTTGCCCTGATGTCCAGAAGGTCCAGAAGTTCAGAGCTAAAAGCAAATATTGGTCCTCAGCTAAAGACAGACAAACAACACCATGTAAGCACATTATCTGTAAATATATTTTGCAATTTTATCTAAGCATTTTGCCCTGTGACGGACTGGCAACCTGTCCAGGGTGTACCCTGCCTTTCGCCCCAAGGTCAGCTGGGATTGGCTCCAGCCCCCCGCAACCCTGTATGCAGGATAAGCGGTTGACGATGGATGGATCTAAGCATTTTGTACATTTTGTAGCTCTCATCTTTGTTACTTGGGACGTCCTAGTAGCTTTGGTGTCATCACACTATGTGGTGGGATACTTGGTGAAAATAAGGAGAAGAAAGAAGCCAAGATGAGCAATAGTTAAACTTGGTATCTTAATTGAAGATACTGCCAGTATCTTCAACTAAGTCCAGTTGCCCTTGACTTTAACCTTCGTTGGAGACTGTTTCTTTCACTACCACCACCCTCCCCCCCAAACAAAGCAGTCTCTCCCGACTTTTGAACTACTATATTCATAACAGCAGCAAGCAGTATGGTTTTTACAAAGCATATATCTTTTCTTAACACCACTGGCTGGAATAAAACAATAAAGCAAGTAAATCCCAACTTTTGAACTACTGTATTTCTACACATGTATTTAAGAGCAGTATTCAGTATTTTTACAAACCGTTGCGTAACACCACTCTCTACTGACACGTCCAAGCATCACGGGCAGCAGCTCCCGGAGTTTCTTTCTGTAAGTTTCACATTGCTGTGCTGCTTCAGCAGATGCTTCAATAAATGACATGAAGAATTGTTTGCGGACGACAATGTTCTTTGCATCTTAGACTGTGATAGATAGTGGCAGTAGCTACTTCCAGCTGTGGAAAGAACGCCTCTCTCCCTCGTTCTCCATTCTTCCTTTAGCTTTTTGGCTAACAGCTGACTTGAACAACATAAGGTCCGGTGCCGCTGACCTCAAAAGGAGGACTGGACCCAACTATATATTTAAACAGAGTTAATTCTTACTACAAAAACACAAAGGGCACAGCACCCATTACACCTGATGAAAACTAACACAAGATACTACGTGTGGCAGTCAGTGTGGACTCTGGCCCTAATTCCACCCTTTTGTTAACCACATGCTGGTGCACACAAATCAAAAATAATCAAATATACTGTGATTACTGGCTACTAAACATAACCACCAATAGACTACCACAGACCTAAGTGAATTTCTCCACTAAACACAATGCAGAGCTAACTAACAAGATACCCAGTCAATACAAGCGGCACACAAGTCAATTGGCTGTGACAAGCTGCCTCGAGCAACTGCTGGGCTCTCCTTATGAGCAGAGTAATCCGGATGTAGTGACCAGCCATTGGTTGAGCGGGAACAGAGGGAACCAATGGGTGGGACTGAAGTCAGCAACCCAGAAACCAGGAAGTAGCCGGGTCTTCTTTCCACAGGGACACACAGCCTACTTGGTAGAGGTGAGACAGAAAAGGGGGAAACACAAAGGTGACAGCGACAGCCGTGACAAAAGTAATATTATTACAGTAACGCGTACTGGACAACACTGTAGGAGACAACAAAAGATATGTGGCCTAGTTTCATCCAGCAGGTGAAAGTTAAAGTGGAGAAATTATCATTATTGAACCCAACGCTTGTGATGTGTCGCAGAGTTTAATAGTGCTGATGCTGAAGAGAATGTCATTAGTTTTGCAGATACCAGCAAATCTCAGCCCTGGACAGGTTGCCAGGCCATAATGAATAACATAAAAAATAAAAAATGAATGATCAAAATACGAAGGGCTCCTCTGTGGTGTTGAACATGATTGCTGGAGTAGGTCCACTTGGCTCCTGGGATACAACAGATACATTTGAGTTAGTAGGTGAAACTTAATTATAAGCAATAAATAGTTTTGATTTATTAACTTTGATGTTTAACATCATCTAAAGGATGGAAGTAATGTTGACCTGTGGACGTTTGTGGAACTACATATGACAAGGCCTCTTTGAAGTAAAGTAGATTGGAAATATCTTTGTTGAATTGAAGGTTTAAGGTTATTTTGTGTGTTTCATTTATCATGACATATGTGTGTGTCAGAGTGACGCAATTATCCTATCATACATATATAAAGTATATGGCTGCACAATAGTTGTCTAAAAGAAAGTTTTCCCTACACTGGGGTTAAAATACTGGGCTTCCTGCACACCCCTACGTTCAACATCTCTTGAAGAACTCTTTCTTCTCAAATGGGTTCTTTGAATGAAAAGGCTTCTTAGAGGAGCCCTTAGTTTTAAAAAGAACCTTTGAAAACCCTTTCAATAAAAAAGGGTTTTTCAGGAGCAATAGGTTCTTGGTGGAACCTCAGCCCCTAGAGAAGAACCCTTTTGGAACCCTTATTTCTAAGACTGTAGAGAGAAAAAAACATAGAGGGTTATGTAATCTGTCTTGTTTGAAGATCGATTGTCGTGTTTTAATTTTTATTCTGGAAAGTACCAAAATGATAGTAGTGACGCTAGGGGCCTTCTCAGGTTAAATTTTTAGTCAATTTGGACAGGATTGTCTCCGGCACCTCGGATCAGTTTTGTCTCTGATAGTTTGAAAATTGCTAGGTATAATTTGCATTTATTATGGTCTATTCAAAAACTAGTTTGATCTTATTTTCCAACATTTAATACTTTTAAGAACTTGGTTGCATTTAACAGTCAGACGATTCTCTAATATTCCTTTTGAATATCCGTCCTGGTATTTGATATTTTCCCCATAATTTGGCTTAGCATACATTCACTACTTTCTTACTATTGTGTTTCTTTTATTTTGATGCATTGTAAATCCATTTATATATTCACTTTTTGTAATAAATATATTTATGAACATAAGTCAAACCCAGTGATGATTTTTTTCATTAATGTATTTGTATAAGGGGAAACCATTCTCTGCCACCACTCTGACAATAATCATAGGACAAATAATTCTAATTCTTGCAGCTGGTGTCAAGCAGGAACATGGAGGCAGCAGGAAGCATGCAGACCCCACAGGTTTGGAGCCAGAAACACCTGCAGAAAGCACAAAACTAGGGAAGAAAGATGTTTAGTTAGTAACGTGCATTAATTGGATGAGTATGCATTTAGATGGAGAGGGAGAGAGGAGCTTATTGGAAGTCCCCCAGTAGTCTAGACCTATAGCAAGTAACTTTACTTACGTAATTTAAATCACAAATAAGTAAAGTAGTTATTTTAACCCAAACTATGACCTTTTAATAAACCTAATTACATGGTTTTGTTGCCTAAACATAACAGAGCAGATTTGGTGCCTAAAACAAACCAAATTGCAACATTTCACAACGTTACACACTAGTTTTATTTTGAAAGTCTAATCAGATGTTGCATATTTATTGTCCACAAAAAACGCTCATATCAAATGAACAGGTTGATATAAAGCACTCAATGCACATAGAAGCACTCTACAATACTTTTATGTGGTTTGCATTTGAATCAACCTAACTTTGCAGACGCCTGGTTGGTTCATCGTGTTTGAGGGAGTTGAGTGGATTTCATGTTCATGCATTCTGAATTGCACAAATGCTGAATCTCTCTCCTCCTCTCTCCTCACCATTTACCTTCAATACTGACAGAACAACATTGCCATCCTTTTAGAGCCACACTGCTAACATGGCTTATTAACTTATAAAATAAATATTTTGCTTTGCATTTGTTCATTTGGCTTCTCTGTCTTTAGTTGAGGCAAATATTTGCTTATAGCTCTAAACTTGTGGACCTTGGACCCTGGAACATCATTGAAAGATCAACAGACATGCTTAACTTTGGAGTTAAGAGAGATCAGGGGAAAGAGAACACACAGTAGGCCAAAAAAGTTCCACATGGAGATATAAAATAAAAGTAATGGTAGTGGTAATAAAATAAATATCAATAAAAGGACAGGATAATAGGACTAATACTAATTGTAGCAGCAGGTGTGAAGCAACAACTTGGGGGCAACAGGTGGCTCGCAACCACAGATCCAGACTTTACAGCTACTGAGGCAGAAACAGCTGCAGAAAGTGACAGAAAAGCCCCTTTTCCACTGCATAGTACCAACTTGACTCTGTTCGACTCGACTTTGTTTGGTTGTCCATTGTGGAAAAGTTGTACTTGTACCTGCTTCCAGATACTTTTTTTCGTATCAGCGCTGCCAAGGTTCCATGCAAGCTGAGGCGATACTAAAATGTGAGGTGAAAAAAATCGTCACTATTCACTGCATCATCATTGTGCGCACCGAGATGTAACCGTATTGCTTAGATTATAAACTCTCAGCGATTCTAGATTTCAAATATTGACAGTTTTACGAAAAGGGATGGCGGAACAAAAATTTGCTTGAAAGCTGAGATCCACAAGCCTGTGCCAACCCGCGGGAGGAGCTGGCGAGGCCGCTTATTTGCTTTTATTTTATATAATTCTTATTAATGGATCAATATACCAAAGCAAACGTCTGCTACAGACGATGTAGCTTGTTCTGCTTACATAAGATTACATTTAAAAAAATGTTATTTTTTCTTAATTTATATTCCTCCTATTGTTTACTCATGATTTCCCAAACCGGAAACCAGCTTAGCTTTGCAAGGCAAGGCAAGTTTATTTGTATAGCACATTTCAACAACAAGGTAATTCAAAGTGCTTAACATAAAACATAAAAGCAATACAGGGAAATATAAAAATTTTGAAGCAACATAGGGAAATTGATAATATAATAAAAGTTAGAGTGCAGTGTACAATCATGGTTAAAAGAGTTAAATGGAAAATAAAAACAGGCTGAGGGGTTGAGCAAATAATTGAGTTACAATAATTTTGAAAAGAGAATAAACAGAGAAGTACACTTAATCTGCTCTCTCTAGCTAGTCTGTACTCGGGTCCACTGAAACTCCAAAAACCCTCAGAGAAACCAGGACATGTCTGTCCGCAGGCCACTTTGATCCAGTTATACTCTGGACCCACCTGCGACAGTCAAAGTTACAGTGCAGTGTAAGTTATCAATCTACTAGTTAAAGACAGTGGTAAATAATTAATTAAATTTAATTAAAAGCAATGGTAAAAAGAAAAGTCTTCAGTCTTAATTTAAAAGAACTGAGAGTTTCAGCATAACCTGCAGTTATCTGGGAGTTTGTTCCAGATATACGGAGCATAATAACTGAACGCTGCTTCTCCTTGTTTAGTTTTGACTCTGGGGACAGAAAGCAGACCTGATCCCAGACGACCTGAGAGGTCTGGATGGTTCGTAACAAAGCAGAAGATCAGAAATGTATTTTGGCCCTAAACCATTTAGTGCTTTATAAACTAACAGCAGGATTTTGAAATCAATTCTTTGACATACAGGAAGCCAATGTAAAGACCTCAGAACTGGAGTGATGTGATCCACCTTTTTGGTCTTAGTGAGGACTCGAGCAGCAGCGTTCTGAATCAGCTGCAGCTGTCTGATGGATTTTTTAGGGAGCCCTGTAAGGACACTGTTACAGTAGTCGAGTCGACTGAAGATAAATGCATGGATAAGCTTTTCCAGGTCCTGCTGAGACATAAGTCCTTTAATCCTTGATATATTCTTCAGGTGGTAGTAGGCTGACTTTGTAATTGTGTTAATATGGCTCCTCAAATTCAGGTCTGAGTCCATGACTACACCAAGATTTCTGGCTTGATTTGTGGTTCTTAACTTTACAGATTGAAGTCGAGCACTGACTTTCAATCGTTCCTCCCTGGCTCCAAAAACAATAACTAACTAAATTCTGGCACATCCAATCTTTGACCTGCTCAATACAGTTACTCAGCGCCTGTATGGGATCATAGTCCCCTGGTGAAATGGTTATGTAAATCTGTGTGTCATCTGCATAATTATGGTAACATATTTTGTTGTTTTTCATAATCTGAGCCAGAGGAAGCATGTAAATGTTAAACAAAAGAGGTCCCAGAATGGAGCCTTGGGGAACTCCACATGTCATTTTTGTCAGCTCAGACACAAAGTAGTCCCTGTCCTTTAAGTAGGATTCAAACCATTTTAGTACTGTGCCAGAAAGTCCAACCCAGTTTTCAAGTCTGTCTAGTAATATGTACTAGACTGTCTGTCTATGTAATTTTTTTTTGCGTGTCTGTAAACAACTATGTCTCTTCATTCTGTCCAGTTAAATATGGTGTGCCTCAGGGGTCGGTCTTAGGACCCATTTTGTTTTCCTTGTATCTGCTTCCCCTTGGACATATTATCCATAAACATGGCATTTCTTTTCATATTTATGCTGATGACACACAAATATACTTGCCCGTCAGATCCACAGACCCTGGA